CAGCCCTCTCCACCCCAGCTGGTTCCTCAGCACCTCTGTGGGTCCCCAACCTCCTCAGAGCCTCCCACCACCCCCTCAGACATTCCCTAGTGCTGCCCCACCCTCACTGAGCCTGGAGCTTAGGGAAGGAAGCAGAAGGCCACACTTCTCAGGGAGCGGAGTCTTGGTCCTTCCTCACCCAGGTAAGTAGAAGGGACAGGAACTCCACTTCCTTTCAGCAAAACCTCCTTTAAGTGCGACCACCCCTCAGAAAGGGGCCTGTGGTGTGAGCACAGGGAGTGTGGGCGTCTGCACTGACCACTCCCCTCTCCCCTCTCAGAGATTTTCGCAAAAGTGTCCAAGCAGAGGCAGAACAGCACTCGGACCAATGCCATCACGCTGGGCAGTGCCCAGGCTGGGCAGGAGCCTGGCGCCGGTGAGAAGAGGGCCTGCTGCATCAGCCTCTGACCTTGGCTCGCACCAGCCCTGCCCTCACCAGCTTCCTAGTGAGGGTGCTCCTAGTGCCCACGCTCCAGGAACGTTCCCTGCCCGGTGGCTCCAGATGTCAGTGGCCTGTTCCCTGTTCACAGCCCCGCCGAGCTCGAAGGTCTTCATGCCCCCACCCCCGTATTATCTGCTAACCTCACAGACTAGAGCTCTCCAATAAAGCTGTTTTATATCCATGCCTGGCCATCCTGCTGCCTCCCGTCTGCGCCTCCCCTGCAACTCGCTCCTCTTCTGAGTCCCTGTTCCCCTTCCCTTCCCCTCGCTCCATCCTCCCCGCTGCCCCCCAGGGCCAGCTGCCTCTGAAGTCCTGTGGTCTGGGGACAGTGCCAAGGGGGTGAGAGGTGCCCGCCCTTCCCCCTGCTAACCCCCAGAGTAGGAGGGGGAGGGAGGACAGCATGATGGAGAGGGGGTATCTGGAAGGCAAGACAAAGGAGACCATCGGAGGGGACCATCTGGTGCCCAGGGCCCTGGTGCCAAGAACTGAGGTCACTCCAATGCCAGGGGTGAACGGAGCAGGGGAGATGGTAGAGAGGAGGGGGAGTCGAGGCCAGCCTGTTCTGTGTGCTGGGGAAAGGGCTTTAAGACTGGGAGGTGGAAGGTCTGTCTCCATCTGGTTTTCTGTCTGACCCCAAAGAAGAAGGGTTGGGGTGTAGGGACAGATTGCATCTGGTGGGGAGGGCGTGTCTCAGCTCTCTGCCCTTTCTCCATCAGCCCAGGAAGGCGGTCTCTAGTCTTCCCCTGTTCTGCAGGGCAGAGTGGAAGGAGGTCTGACGGCACCCCCAAGGAATAGAAGGGGTAAAATGGGTATAAAAGGGGATTGAGCATTTGGAGACTGGAGTTGGGAGCTGTGGAGAGCAGACAGGAGCCGGGAGGGGCGCCCAGAATTACACGAGAGAGAACTCCCAGCTACAATCACAGTGGTCCCTCGCACACCCCCCGCCCCGCCACCCCCAGGTGGTTCAGATCCACACGCAGAGAAAGAAGCCAGAGCCTTAAGTAATAATACTTTTAATAAAATTACCTTCTTAATAGCACATTTAATACATTAACCCTCCCCCTTCTTGGTTTCTCTGCATTTTGTGCAACATCACTTTGACTCAATTATTCGTGGGTCCGTTTCGTTTCCCGCCTTTTATTTTGCTCTCGAACTGTTTTCCTTGGTGGATTTGTATGCGTCCTCACTAGATGCCTCAAATTAAGTCTGACCACAATCCTACTCTACTTTCTACAGTGGAGAGACCATCCCCCCTGCCCCAGGGCTGTCTCCACCTACCCACCCTACCCTACCCGCACCCTTGAGTGGAGAAGGGGAAGCCTTCCCCACCCCAGACACTACCTTCCCAAACTATGGGGGTTTCTAGGACAAAAAGAGCAGGGAAAACCTGTCCCTAGGTGGGGGCGCGAAGAATAAATTGGGAAGAGGGAGATGTGTTTGGGGTTTAGGGCCAGGAGGGGCATGACAGAGTCATTGGTGTCATGGAGCAGGCTCTTCTTGCCAAAAGAACCAAGGGACCTCCACACCCACCCTGGAGAGCCTGGAGGAAGGGGCCTGACCTGACTGCAAGCGGGGGCGGGTAGAAGGCAAGTGCTTAAAAAATTGATTTCTCGCCTGCAACAGCCAAGCTCCCCAATTTTCAGTGGGGAGCAATGTGCCCTCACAATGGCCAGAGCACGACGAATGATCCCTACCTGAACTCTGACAGCTGGAGGTGGATGGAGCAGAGGGCTAGGGTCACCCAAGGTCTCTGCTTCCCACCCCCTGCCTCTGTACGCTTGGGAGCCCCTTTTCCCAGTGGGTGGAAAGTCCTTGGAAATGAGACAGTAAAGCATGTTGCAAACCTGTAAAGCACGGGGCAGCTTTAAAGGAGAATGGGTGAGACCGACTCCTCTGCTGCCAAAAGCCAAGTGGAAGATTGGGGAGGAGCAGGGATGGGGCAGGGACCCTGTCTCCCGAAGCTGAGAAGTGTGCGTAAGCATGTGTGTGGGGAATGACCTACCAGGCTCTTGAATCAATCTGTACCACTGGCGGTTACACTTCAAGGACTTCCTCAGTTAGGCGTAGGGACCTCACCGAGAGCCCCAAGAATGGACATAATCACTTTGGAGTAAGGGCTACCCAACAGAGACAGAGGAGTGGCCCGGATGGGAGGCCCCCAAGGGCTGGGATGCAGACCAAGGGTGCAGGCTCACCCGCCTCTGCTGCCCCCACCTGGTTGAAATGATCAGTGTCCATCCGTTTAAAGGCCCCGGGAACGGAGCCCCTCATCCATTTGTCCTACAAGTTAAAAACCCAAGGATTCTCAGAATCAACCCCAGCAGACTAGAAGCTCCCAACCTTCACTAGCCATGTGCTTCTACCCTGACATCTGAAGATGGGTGACTCAGCCACTTCCCTCCTCTATTTTCCTTTTGTTACGACTTTTATACATTCTACTGGACCCAGGGGCCCGCAATGCTACTAAACTTTTAAGCTATCTGAATAGTCTACTAAGTAACTAGTAATTCTCTTTCTCTCTAGGATTATATGAAATAAATTTGAATTATTATTAATAATTATTATTTTGTAGTATTTTCTTTTAAACCCCTCAGTTTCTTCTCTCTCATTTTTGGTTAAAAACAAAAACTATTTCTCTTAAATCTCACACCTCTCTGAGGGTCCCGGGGGCCTGCTAGGCCCCTATTCTGGACTTCCCCTCCTCACTGGCCCCTGAGGCAGGGGCAGGGGCAGGGGAGCACCCAGGATCCTCCATCCTCCAGCTCCTTCCTTTCTTGTTAATTCCTTTCTTTGTTTGGCTCTGCCAGCTCCCCCGAGGGGGAGGGGGAGAGGAGAAGGGAGCCCATGGAAGGAAATCCAATCCACTAGCAGGGCCCCAGCGGGACCCGGTTCCCTTAGCCGCCATCCATCCCAGGATGCCCCTCCTCCCCCAAAGCAAGTGACATTCCTCCCCAAAAGAAAAGTGGGGGGAAAAGGAACGTAAACCTGAACATATATTAAAAACACTTTTTTTTAAGATTTAACTCTGAATACAAATGTATTTTTTTCTTCTCTCCCTACATATATTCTAAACCTTCTAAAGTTTTTTTTATTTTTTAAGGATCACTTTATCATAAAATAAAATATCCTTTTCATATAATAAATTACCTAATAAAAAGTCTTTTTTTTTTTCATATTAGCCCAGGTTCTTTGCTACATTTATACGGTAATAAACGCCTTTATTAAAATAGAATATTAAATTATAAAGAACTGCTTTTTTTTTTTTTTTGCTATTTTTGTTTTCTCTGTTGGTCGCCTATCTCGCTCCCTCTCACGCTCTCTTTCTCACCTCTGTTTTGTCTCTCACTATGTGTGTTCTGCGTTTGTTTCTAGGTTTGGCTCAATGAGTAAGGGTGGGATTGAATCTTCCGAGCCCCCTAATGTAACAGTCTTCTGCCTTTGTGGGTAAGGAGTGGAGAGGGGGAGGGGAATCCACAGACAGACATCCCTTCTCTGCCCCAGCCCCCCACCTCCCCTGGGCAACCCATTTGGTTTGGTTTCTATTGTACAGACATCTCAGGATGGCTCACATTGGCTGGAAGGAGGGAAGTTGTCACAGGCCAGTGTTCCCGGCTGTGACCTCCTTCCTCTCCCCTCCCTGGCTGGTGGTGGAGGGGAAGGCTGTGGAGAGTTAATTCACAACAGGAGGAAGGAGGGGAGGAAATCCCCTCTGTACCCCCATTCCTGCACCCTCTCTCCGTCCAGGAATGGGACTCCAGAGCTTACGTGCTCAGAGATCACTTACAATAGTCCCAGCTCACTATATACAAGAATTTCCTGGGACCCCCCCAGGGACTCCAATCCCCCATCCTCTCCTGGCCCGCCAGCGGAACTAGGAGGGTGGGAGGCTGGTGGCAGCCCCAAGGGAGCAGTAGGGAAGCAGCGAAGGGGGTGTAAGGCCTGTAACATGACTCAGAACAGTCGCACCCCAATCCTGCTTAGCCCTGGAACTGACCCCTCTCCGAAGACCCAACCTCTCCTTCTCAACCACAGTGGGTAGGACAGACACTTCATGATCTGCTCGCTGAGAAGGGTTGGTGTGAGGTCGAGAGGGGCGCAGGGAGTGGGGTATTGCTCCTTGAAACAGCAGACCCACTCCCTGGCTCTCCTCCTACCACTGCCATGAAATCCAGTCCAAGATCTGCCCCCTAAATGTAATGCCCAAAGAGGGTAAAGGTGGAGGGTTGGCCCTTTATGTACCCCAGTATTAGTCCCCTCCTCAAATTTTCACTGAGAATGGGGATACATTCCATCACGAATTTGAGGTGCGTCTTTGGAGGAGTGGGGAAAAGAGGGCCTCTAGATGCCAAAAGAGAAATTAGGGGGGGCCACCAAAATGTCCTTCCCCCAAGCAGATGGTATCCCCAAAGCTGCGCTAGAAGGGGCAGAAGGGAGGCGGGAGAAGGGAAGAAACAGAAAGACGGGTGGGAAGTAAAGAGAGGAGCTGGGGAGAGAGCAAAGGAGAAAAGAGAACCCAAGGGGAGGAAGAATGGGAGGAGAGAGGAGGGAAAGCTGGAGGGGGCAGCGGGGGCCTCATCCAGATTCTTCTAGCCCAACTTTGTGGAGACAGACAGGTCTGAGCCCTTAATTGATTGGCATGCTTCCCCACCCCCTACAGTCCACGCAGGCTTCTGAAAGGGCCCCGACCCCCTCCCATCTCAGAAACCTAGGAACAAATTCCCGAACAGGATATGGCAGTGGAGGGTCCAAAGGGTCATGCCAGGAGGTCAGAGGTCAGGACCAGAGGACTTGGGGATGGGAGAGAGCACCTCTATATACAGATGGTAATTCTCCCTCTCCCTTCCCCTCCCCTCCATAGAGGAAGGGGTAGTATGACACACTCAGGGGAGGTGGACAAAGGGGGTCAGGGTGCCTTAGCTGCCACCGCTGGCAAAACAAAAGTTTCTCTTAGCTGCTTTCAGATTGAAGGGTGTGTTGAGGTATCAGAGTTGTAACTCTAGTAAAATTTCCAACCTGGCCCCCTCCCAACCTTGCAAGGATAGGGTGACCAGAGGGTCTCAAAGTGGCCCACCCTCCAGCCACCTCCCCTCCCCTCCCCGCTCCCCAGCCAGGATCTCTAATCACCTGGCCCCTCGAATTGCTGATTTCCAAAAGGCTCTGGTGGAAACCAGCTCCAGGGGCAGGCCCCTGGGAAGCGGCCCCCGGAGGCGGGGGGCAGGGGAGGGGGCTTAGGAGAATATTCTGATGGCTTGCGTAGCTGTGATGTGGCAGACAGGACACTCGGGGTCCGTCCTCTCACAGATGCGTACTGCACACTCCATGCAGAACAGGTTGTGTCCACAGGGCACGAGGGCAGCAGTCACCTCGCTCTCAAAGCACACCATGCAATCCCGCCCGCCCCCGGGACTCCGCAGGCCTCCCCCCCCAAGTTTGGAGAAGCCCTGAAGTGGCTCTCCAGGCGGGCGTCTCGGGAGTCCCGCCAGCTCCGAGGTGGCAGGAGAGCGGTGCACTCCTGGGGGACCAGCGCGCGTCTTGGCAGAAGAGGAGGAGGAGGAGGAGGCAGAGGAGAAGAGCACCGAGGAGGGCGTGGCATTCTCCTGGCCTGCCCAGAGCGGGGGACTGGTCTCCGCCACCCCATAGTACACATCCTGCTTGCCCACACTGTAGCCGGGAAACAGGTACCCGCTGTAGCCAAAGTCCCCGCCCTGCTCACCCAGGCGTGGGGTCTCAAAGCCCGAGTCCACGGCGCACTCGCCGATGCAGCCCAGGCTGTTCTGCCGGAAGGTGGAGAGGGGCTTGCAAGCGGGCGGGTGCACTCGCCAGGCCTCGGAATAGCGGCTGTCCAGCGCGGCGTCGGGGCTCCCTGCCAGGAAGTCATTTTCATTGTTGTACTCGAGGATCTTGCCGGTGCGCACCGCGATGTGCGTCTCGATCTCCTCCCGGGCGCGCTCCACGTTGCCGGGGGCACCCGTAATCTCGAACACCGGGTCGCGGTCTCGGCTCGGCGTGATAATGTACGTGTTGGTCTGCTGCTGGATGCGCTTGATGGTGGCCCCCTTGGGGCCCACCACCAGCCCCACCACGCGGTAGGGCACCCGCACGCGAATGGTCACCTGGCCGGGCAGCGCAGGCGCCACGCCGAAGGCAGCACCCGACTTGTTGCGCGATGCTCGGATCATGGAGAAGTGCTCGGCCGCTGAGATGATTTCCCTTCGGGCTGTGGCCACGTCCTCCCGCCGCCCAGTCACCATGAACACTGGCTCCTCGCCCCGCACCGGGGTCTTGATGTAGGTGTTGGTCTTGGCCCTCAGAGCCTTAATCTTGCAGCCTGAGATAGACAGGGAAGCGGAGAGAGAACGAAACTCACTGTCCGAGATTTGTGCTGGGACCAATAAGCTCCTGACCCTTACTCAGAGGCCCGCCCCCAGGAACCTCTCAATCTACCCTTTGAACCCCGCCCCCCCAAACCACCCTGATTTGAACCATCACTCATCTCAGATCTACCCAAGGTCTCTCTCAACCACCTTTTTCTTTTTTCTTTTCTTTTTTTTAAAAATATATTTTATTGATTTTTTACAGAAAGGAAGGGAGAGAGATAGAGAGTTAGAAACATCAGCCGCCTCCTGCACATCTCCTACTGGGGATGTGCCCACAACCCAGGTACATGCCCTTGACCAGAGTCGAACCTGGGACCTTTCAGTCCGCAGGCCGACGCTCTATCCACTGAGCCAAACTGGTTTCGACAACCACATTTTTCAAAATGTAACAACTTTCCCTTGAATTCCATTCAGGACCTTCGCATTCATTTACTCTTGGAAACCCTGAAATAACCCTCCCAGAAAGCTGCTCTCCTCAGATCTACATACTAATTCCTCCCCAACCGTGATCTGTTCTCTCAACTTCTCTACTGATTCCTGGCGACTCACAAACTTCCAAATCACTTCATCTATCACACAGCCTTTCTATCCCCCCTCCCCCCAATCTGTCACGGACTCTGATTTTTCCACGGAACTCCAAATGCACTCAGTAACCCCACAATCCACTCATCACTGGGCCTCCATTCATTAAAAGGGTCCTCCAACCTACCCAGGGACCACCGACCCCCATCTGTTCTATGATCCCCACCCCCATGGCATCCACCCACTAGTGTCTCTCAGTGTCTCCAATTCACAGCAGGTTTGCAGCAACTAGTGGAGTTATGGGAGGCTGGGAAGGGCCTGAGAATCAGTTTCAAGAGGGGCAAGAGGAATATGAAGATAAAGAAAATGTGCAAGGGACCGGACTGAACCCCATAGTCACTCCTGCCACCGTGTCCCCTAAGAGCGGGAGAGCTGAGATGGGCTGGGGGCTGACTAGAGTGAGGGAGGAGGTATTCTGGACCCTTATTTCCACTTCGAAGGAGGAGTGGGTTAAAGCTGGGAGGTTGGGGAGAGAGGCAGGAAAAGAAAGAAGAAATCGGAGACAAAGAGACAAAGAGGGAGAAGGGGAAAGAGAAGAGTGAGCGAGGGTGGACGACAGCACCACCTCTAAAGGCTGCAGACCTCCATGGCCGACTGGCCAAGCCTCTCTCCTCTCCCGAGTTCCCTCTCTCTGCACCCAGCTTCAGAGACTCACATCCCTTCTTGAAGCACACAGGCCACATGTGTGAGTTTGCACACGTAAGGGCCTCAGAGCCGTGAGGTGCTTTCTCTAAACAATACTTTCATAACCTTTCATACTCACAGGGATTCCCTGGCCCGCTTCCCCCCATCCCACTCCTCCGTCCCTATCACCCCAGCACACGAACAGCACATTCCTATGCACCCACAACTTTCACCCCATTCACACAGAGAGACATGCACACCCCTCTTCAGGTACAGACTCACATGTCTTTCTCACTCCCCCACCATACTATCTATCCCCAAAACCAACACTAGTCGTTCCAGTTTTCTGGAACTACTGCCCCAACTCTCCGTCCACAGGCCTGAGGAGAGCCTATTATTATTATTATTATTATTATTATTATTATTACTATTGTTATTAGTCTCCTTCCTCCACTCCATATGGTTCCTTCAACCATATCAGAGTGGTGTATGGGAGGGTAGAATGGGTTGGGGCAGCTCTCCTTACCTTCAAGAGACCTTAGAAAGGAGAACCTGCCCTCCCTTTTGTCCTCAGACTTCTTGGAAATTGAGAAGTCCTACCTGTTGTCGAGCTCACATCCTTGCTGCTTTGATGCCAGTAAACGACTGTTCGTAAGGCACGGAGGGCGGAGGAACAGTGGCATTCCCTCTCACACAGTGTCTACTCGCATGGTGTCTGCTAGGCACCTGGGTTTTGACTCTAACTTTTGGGTCCATAAACTTAAGTGAGCTAAATATCTTTGGGGGTTGGGGTGGGGTGAGGAGGACAGGCCAGGGCACGAGTACTTTAAGTACAAAAGCTAGCGGCCCCGAGTGCAGAACTGGTAGTGGAACTGACCTTAGGTTTTGCAAGCCGAAAGAAACACCTCTTGAAGGGAAGACCCCCCGGGCTTCACCTTCCTAGAGGTCAAATATAGGGGCACTGACCTTGTAGCAGGAGAAGGGAGGTTAGACAAGAGGGAGGACTTCCAAATACTTAAGAAATGAGGGGGAAGAGAGAAATCCCCCCTACTTTTATGAGAGACAGCTCCATCTGATGCGGAGGCAGAAGAGGAAAAATGACTCCATGAAATTCTGGGGCCTCCCAAGACCACCCTCCCACACAAGAAAAATATTAGTGTCCCCACCCAGTTCCAGGGCTGTGGGTCCCTAGTTTCTGATAAGAGGAAATCCAACTTTTCAAACCAGAAATCTCAAGAGATGGAGTGGGGTGGGTGAGAATGAGGGTTGTGTAGGACAGTGGCATCTTCCCCTCCTCCATTCTGGATCTCCGAGCAAAATCCCACCAAACCCCAGCACTACAGGGGGATGAGGTGGGATGAGGAGCAGGGCCCCCTGGCTTCGCCTCCCCTCTTCCCCTGCCAGCAGCCGGCCTCCTCCCTCACTCCCCAGCCGGAATGCAGCTCCTCTATTGTTCCCTACTGTGGGACAGCTCCTCCCCTGCTCCTTCCCCACCCCCACCTCACCAGCCCAGCCTTGCAATTTCCAAATCCGACCCCCCAACAACTCCCCTTTGGGAAACTAGGAGAGGGAAGGGTCCCCAAGATTCCATCTGCTCAATCTGGACAGTCACCAACACTCCGACCCCCACCCGTCCAGGGATGCTGGAGTGGAGGAGGGTGTGGTATCAGACTGACTACACTGTATTAATTCTACATCCCTCCCCCAACGCACCCAGACACACGCCCTGCACCGAATCCCCAGGTGAAGCTTTCGCACCCCTCCCCCCAAGTATGTCCCCTACCGCCCTGTCCTACTCTGGCACCACCAGAGACCCCTGTCCAGGCCTCTGGCCCCTGGCCTAGGCTAGCCCAGAACAAAAGCCTGAGAGGGAGGAGGAGAGGGCCACACCAGGATGTGGCACTTCCTTGGAGGCGCCCCTTCCCAAACCCCACAGACCGTTCAACTTTGGTGTGTGGGTGACCACAGGCTCCCCTCCTCCCAGGAGCCCCCCTTCCCATCTCTCCCCCCAGGCTGGGACCCTCCCAGGAGCCACACCCCCTTCCATTCCTACACTTAGCCCAACAAAGAGACAGATACTCAGACTGGCTCCCCAGGCCAGGTCTCCCCCAAAGTGTGTAACTCCAGGCAGCTGGGGGTCCCAGGGGTACCCCCTCCCCAATCCACTAGCAGATACCAGAGCAGGGGCTTCCGAGTAAGTCTTTGCACATTCTGCCAGTTTTTCTGGCTTTGAGTGGACACCCCCTCCGGACAGACAGCCTCTCTAGATTGGGAAACCAATCCCCTCCCTTTCCCCTCTCTTAAGAGAGGATATTTCTTTGTCTAAGGGCCGGCCCTGGGGGAGGAAGGGTCTGGAGAACAGTCCGACTGGGGGTACCAGGGAACTTTGTGGCACTAGGAAATCAGGGTTTGAGGAGGGCCCCCCTTTGTGGAGAAGGGACAGAGCCAGAGGTGGACGAGAGAGGAAATGAACTTTCCGCGCTAGGGATGGGGTGCCCCCCCCTCCAGCTCCGCGATCGGGGCGCCCTCTTACCTTGCCTGCCCACGATCTCGGCCACGTGCTCGGAGGTGGGCACGGGTACACACTCGGTGGTGTTGCTGCTGCCCTTCAGGCGCAGCTCGGCCTCTTTGTAGAGAGCGCAGAGCTTGGCGTCGCTGGCCCCTTTGGGGGCGGTGGGGGGAGTAGTGGTAAGTCCAGTGGTAAAACCAGGAAATCGGTCCTTAGCGCTTCCCCCGAAACATCCTAGTTCTCCAAAGCCCCCATTTCTTTCCATTATTCCAGATACCACTAGACTAGGCATGGCGAAACAAAAGCTGGGGAGAGAGCGAGGGAGAGAGAGGTGGTGGAAGGGAAAAGAGGAGAGGAGGGGAGGGGAGAGGAGAGGAGGGGGTGCGTGGGGAGGGGGGAACAAAGAACTGGGGAGGGGGAAAGACGGCGAGATAGAAAGATAGACCCTCCCCCTAAGCCCCCCTCCCCAAACACCCTGTAACCCGACTCCCCTCGCCCCAGCCCCCGGGGTGGGGGTGGGGGGAAAGAGAAACAAAACCAAGAAAGCAGATCTCTTCTCCTCTCCGGGGGTGACGGGGGACCGGGGGCTGCGGGATCTCGGCCCCCCCCCCTCCCTCCTCGGACCCGGAGTCTCTAGACCCCGCCGTCCAGACT